AATGAGATCGGAATGAGAATTGAGATCAGCCTCATTGCGGTCAAAACTTTCGTACTCTCGAGAAATGCCACTTGATGAACGCGGCAGGTGTGATTATTACAGTGTCACTGCAACAGAAGCTGAAGTCCAAGTATCTCAGTGTAACATTCACCAGTGATGACGGGCAGCATGATATGGAAATAGGCATTCTGATCAGTCAGACATGCACAGTGATGCTTAAATTAAACTGGCTGAAATTCAACGAAAATTGTCATATTTAACATGTTGTCATGTGATGGTTTTCGAAGGTATAAACTGCTAACAGTACTTCGGCCTGTATTCCATAGAACTCGTATAAGACATTAGAACCAGCCAAGTGGTACTCCTGAATAATGACTGCTATATTTTTAAACCACTGCCTAAAATAACAGCCCTCAATGCCGCCGATCAGATAAACATTCTGTACATTGACAGGATCTACGTGGTATCATTACACCGTCCCTTTGCTTCCTTGTACCTAAGGCTCTTTTTGAGCAAGCTACATTTTCATGAAATTTACATGCCTGCAGTACGTGGATGCAATGCCGCATCTCATATTTCAGTCGAACAGTATGCGGTCAAGCACCAAAGGAGATGGGTCAGATAATCGCCTTCAATAAAACTGATATACCATGGTACCGTGACCTGCTGAAAAAGTTCAAAGGAATCTAGGCACAATTGGATGGTGTGAATACATCGTGAAAGTCCGGAGAAGTGACAGCAAATTCTGTAGTATTTTGCTCGAGAGCCTTTCGGTTCAAATAGCAATATCAATTGCGAGAGACAAGCGATAATTATGACAGAAAACAATGGCGCATGCGACGAAAAATTCGAGCCAGCTTATAGCTCCCGTATATGATCAAAATTCCAATGATTCTTTGCGGATGACACGCATGTCTGATTCATCATATGCATGTTTTCCTACGTTTCGGACGTTTGCTCGATCTGCTTTCAGGGAGAGGTCTGTTCTTATAGGAGTTACGAACCGGAGGAACTTTGAACATAAATCTTTACAGTATAATAGCAGCTTCACTAGAGAAGTCTTAGACCCGATACGGAAGTTGCGCCGAAGTTTCGTTCCAGCGCGATCTCAGTTCAGTTTCAACGCCATGCATTTGTTCGTTGGATTATCAGGGTCTTTCTTCATCATCCGGCTGAAATAGGATTTGGTTCCATTAGTTGTTCTTTGTTGTACTGCACGTTCCACAGCCGTCGAGTAATTTTCGCGTTCCCTCATCAGCACCTACGAATCTGCCCACTGTCTTCGCCCATTCTTTCCCCGCGCTTGTCCATCCTACCACATTGTCAGGATCCTGATGTGTTCTTTTTCTTTCTCGTCCATACTTTCGCCGGTTTCTCTTATTTGACTAAAACCTCACTCACAAGATCGAGTGAAGACCTAGCTTTATTGTTTGGATGTGGCTCAACGGTTTTTGACATGCCGTAGCTGTCTCAATCAGTAGTGTTTTTCGGCATCTGAGTGTCAGTCGTGCTCCATCGTTTCTAGTGATCTTCTGTGGCAGCTTGTAGAGATGCTGTACGTATGAGCAAGGCATGGTACCATATATGGCTAGCCATTATATTCTGTTCTTTCTGTCAAACAAGGCGTATCTTGTTTTACATTCGGTATGATTACCACCGTAAGAGTAGGTATTCACTGATGAATATGGTAAATACACATAAATCTTAGATATGCAATATTTTGGAATTTGAATCGATGCGAATGATATAGAGGTGTTTTAAGGGAAAATTTTGCAATGCCTAAACTTACATGTCTCGCTAAATTATTGAATCACAATTTGTGCATCGTTTTTATTTTTATTGCACCCAACGTCGTTGAAAGTCGACACTGTCATAAAAACTCAGCGGATAAACCGTCCTTCGATTCGATGTTTTCCTTCTAATTTTTATGGTACTACATCATGATCCTCTTAATCGCCTTTCATGTTTTCCCCTGTTTTTCCAATCCTTTGTTTGTATTTTTTTTCATCTACTTTATTTTACCTTTTTTGTTATTTTCTCTTCTACTCTTCCTCCTCTTTTTTGCATTTCTTACCCGTTGTTATTTTTTTGTCAAGATCTTTATGCACTTTGATATCCAGTTGTCAACTCTTTCACTATTTGTGAGATATCCCTGATGATGGCTTTTTTGTCAGAAGGTAAATCTTCGGATTAAAAGACTAGGGCATCACAAACTTTGTGTAATGTCGAAAATCATTCGTATTGAAAAGGTGAAGAGCTTACGCCACATTAGAATAATTTCTTATCAGGATTTCTGTCTTTCACGCCATTTATGCTTGCTGGATTTCATGTTTACCGCAGTTCGAACTTCCCAGCCTTTCTCAGAACATTTTATTTTCCCCGTTATTATTTCTTTCTCTTGTTCTTTTTTCTTCCCCTAAGTAATCAACTGCAGAATGCGAACTTTTGTTTTTTTTCTGTTTTTTCAAATCTGCTGACTTGTGGTACTTTTTCGCACCTTTCTTTACCAGCACTTCATTCACACTGTTAATCGTTGTATAGTATAACCTATCAGATTCCTGAATTTTTTTCCAATATTTTTGTGCTCCGTATTAATCGCTTCTGTTCTGTTAAAATCCTTTCTCTGTTTCACTCTTTTTACACTGCCCTGATTTCCTGGCTTCTTCACGCGTGCTTTTACAGCACAATCCTGCACATCTTCAAAATTGTCTTGCCAACCACCGTATACTTCCACTAATGGTGCTGTTCAGAATGACGATCGGATCGTGGCACTGGTCGCTTGCTTCTAGTCTTCCTAGGTGGATATTGAGGCAGTTCGCGATTCCATAGCAGTTGAGCATCTGTGACGCACGAATACAATATGGAAGCATTATATATGACAGGACAAGACGCAGCCAGTGAGACTCGAGCAAAATACATGCTCTTGGCGCCATTGAAAAAGCGTTTCAGTTCGAAAGCATTACTTTATCTTATCGGGGCATTTCCAGAGTTCGAAACTGACCTTTTTCTACTGTAACAGCGCGCCACAGTATTGTGGGTTCTCGAAAAACTAGCAATCACGTCGACGTGTCACACCCGATGTGACAGATGAGATTCATGACAGGCTGACGTTGTGAAAGTTGTCCTACAATGGATGAATGATGAGGATGTTCTGTCCGCGTGAGTATTTGCAAAAATGGCTACATCAGCCACCTTTGAGTTAAATCGTAATGAGAAGCAGCGTGTTTTTAAGAGTCACCTTAATGATCGCCTCTGTACCTTGAAGTCAGCTGCTCTCATAACCAACTGTTGCGTTATGATGAACATGTACGAGGTGCAATGATAGACTCATCAGTGGTTCGTTCTTCATATTTTCAAAGTACACAGAACCAGTTGTCGTTACGACTATCACCATCATTGGGTTAGCGACTCTAGTGACTTGCTGAATTTCCATTTCGGTCAGTCACGCGCAATATCCGCCACCTAATTCATCAAGACTTTCTTCCGTGGTTTGTACCCGTTCACTGACTAGCCAGGAGAAGGACTTCGACGTCAACTGTTACAGTGTCCAACCAGGTCTTAACTCTTTTGCCTCTTTCGGTGTCATTCAGGGATCGGCATGGCACTCAGTGTAATGAAGATGATATGGTCTGATTGATGTCCCAGTGTGTGCCTTTGCCAATGCAATCGCCGTTAGTTCAGGACAGTATAGAACTGAAACGGCACGGATTCTGGTGTTTGACATACTGAAAGCAAAATCAAGGTTACATCTGGTGCTGATCATCAAGTGGGTCAAGCAGTCAGGTTTGTCAAGGCAAATTGTAGTTATATGGGGTGCTTGCGTTGCACAGCATGGCTACGTGCTCTCGTCCATTCTGGCATCACCAAACCAGAGTATCACACCGTTCCATACTGTCGCTTATGTGCTGTCCATTTCTGGGCTAGCTGTGCAGAAGCAGCGTTGAGTTAATTTCTTGATCAAAGAAATTATGCGGCAGAGACAAGGGTCTACCTTGAACCAATTCGAACGCCACACCTCCGGAGTTCAAAGCTGACCCGGCATCCACTGTGTTATCACGCCCTAAAACATGCGGTCGATGCAGTCAGATTCTCGGGTGCTCGAAAATCATATACACATCCAGTGGATGTTCTTGGATGCACTCACACAATTACATTAGCGTAAAAATATTCGCAATAAATTGTAGATTAATCATCGTCACATCTCCGTGACGTTCAGTGAGTAACGTTAATGCAATAGCTTCATCGCCTCAGCCTCCTTTTTCTTCTACCATTGCTCGATAAGTAAAATCAGAAGATTCAAAAACAATTCATCACGTGATTTCAAAAAGTGCTCCCGTCGTATGAATGTTAAATCATTGGACAAAATTGCTGTTGCAACCGGAAAGATAACGCGACATGGCATTCGCGTCCTAACGTTTTCCTCATGTCCCTCGTGGATCAATATGCCACAGTTTTCGATCGATCTGCCGTACTGAAACATGAAACTGAGCGTCGAAGCCTGCCAGTGACGGGCAGAGAAGGTTCCGTTAAAGAGACACGTTCACCGGAAAATGGAAGTGCCATGAAGCTCTGACTTTTTTAAATTTGAAACCTTCTGACTCCCTAAGGTAAAAATCTGTAATATCTTTCGAAGTGCGTCGTTTTCAGGTGACTTGTCGTTCGCTCGTCGGTTTCCGCAACAACGTCCATTTCATAGCGTTTTCCGATTTTCGATACTCAGTGTCACGTGCGAATGCGAGGTCTTGTTAGGTCACTTTTACAAAGTAATTTATACCTATCAAGAGAGTGGTTCCCATAGTAATGATTTGGATCTAGAAATAAAAAAATAAACAAAGATGTGTAGGCATGTAGGATGATGTGTCTAGCAACGCAGTACCTCCGCTCCCGACAGCTGGCCTCACGGCTGCCTGATGGAAAACAGGCAGAGATCGAAGTTTTATCGATCGCACGTCAGGAAGAGTTGTGGGAGGGACATAGACGTTGTTTTCGGTCTCTCGCCAGTCATGACGGCCATAACGTTGCGGCATTTGTGGAAGAAGAGGTGACAGGTCTGTCAATGAACATCGTCGTACTCATTTTCGTCACGCTGGCAACCATGCCATAACGGTTGATGGAAATCAACGGATCAGCTTTTAATATCGCAAAAACTATGACATATTCAGTAATCAACATCCAATCTTCCATTATCTGGAAAAAGTAGATCTCAGCCATGATGTGAGAAACGTCAGCAGGAATCTTTATTTCTATTTTGGTTGCAAAAATTGCTCGCCGATGCCAGAACACGTCAGCGCTGGCTTACACATCACATTCATCATAGAGCATCTTTGTTTTTTCAAACTTTCCGGAACTGGAAGATTTGCGAGAACGTGATGAAAGCCATCAAACTGACCCTCAAACCTCAAGTAACCAACTTAGGCTATTGCAGTTATTCACTGTTCAGCTACCTGACAAGGACCAGGTCTCAGCCAACAGATATGAGGAATCACCTCACTCCATCTTCTGCTGTTGAAGGAGCTCCTTATATCTATAAAATAAATCTGTTTTGCAGAAAACCCCTTGTCTGTAAACTTGAGCGGAAGAGTTGTAGCAGTTGTCGGCATTAACCTTTGAAGTCAACACTTGAAGAATAATTTCGTTGAGTTGTCTGTTCTCTGAAGAATATGCGTGGGCGAGAAGTATAAATGACATAATGAGATGATGTCTCATCGGTGATACCGAAAGATTTTGGAATTAATATTATATTCGGTCTGGATGATCAAGTGATGGTAAATTGGATCCAGTGACGGATTAGTCATCAAAAATTGCACATTATGATACCATACTTTTAAACGGAGGATGACATCAGTTACTGTGTTCTTTTTTGAGGATGCTCATAGTTGTAGCAAGTAACGAACGTAGAAAACAAATAAGTCAGAGTTGCTGTGACCGCTAAAATTTGGCTATTGAGGCAGGAATCACATATCCATCGCAGTGCTCGGTCTTGTCAACTGTAGTGGCATATCATCGGCTGGTCCAGAAGGAAAAGTTGTGGACAATTACCGTTATTTACGATTTAGTTTAAGCACATTTTAAATCTTCTACCATTCAGACTTCTCCTATGATGGAAGATGACATTTGTCATATTTACCTGCGATGGTTTAAAGCAGAGATAGGATAAGCATCATGGCTGCTTCATGTGAACGGTGCGTGCTGCTGCTGAGGATATTATTTGTAGCGTAAGTGCTGTCATAGTTAATTTGATCAGCGACATGAACATTAATATATTGAAATGCAGATATTTTAGTTTCAAGGCAACGCAGGGACTGTAGACCGGGTTTACTCAGTATGCAGAGCGTCTGACTCAGAACAAGGAGGTCTCGGCAGGGTTATACTTCTGCTAAGGTTATTCATTTTCTTCATTCTGACATTAATAAATGAGTACAATTCCGAGGGAAGGTAGGAGGAGAATATACATTATGCTAGCCACATCGTTGCCGTCAACTTAGTCTTTAAAACAAGGCAGTGGTGGCCGATAACACGGAAATGGAAATCAGCACTTCGCCTTTAACTTCATGGGAAGAAGGGCATCAGAGGTAGTTCCGTCAAGAAAGTGTCATGAAGACGACATTACTATGGTTACAAACTTTCCTTCCCTTTCCTTTCACGACTGTCGTAGCATGCAAAACTGGCGGAAAGACAGTAGCAGATGCATGAGTGTAAAGTCGTAAGACGCACGGTGTGATTTCGACATTGAATGCATTCTAAGCCTCAGTACCAAAAGAGACTCAACAGAATTTTTTAGTTTTCTGCCACATGGGATCAGAAGAATAACTGGTCATTACGCCATGTATTTGCTTTGATTTGATATCCGTTGATAACCCTGGTGAAATCGATGAAAAAATAATCTAAGAACGACTGTCTTCTCAGTCATTACCGAAATGTAGTTTATGCTCTCAGGCAACCTAAAGCTCAGACATGATTATTGTATCTTTCGCGTACTCTCATATCAAAGTAACAGGATATGATGCTTTTTACTGTTTTTCGAAAGTCATTGATTTTCTGCCTGTTTTTTAGCTGGTTGGACTTGATCACGATCCATAATACTGGAAGTTAAAAAAAGTTGCGCTACAAACAAGATTCGAATCTAATATCTCTGCTATCCACAGCTGGGGATTAGAACTTCGCTACGGCTTGCTGCAGCATCGGCACTTCGCTGATCCGCTGTACTGTACGAAGGCGTGCATGACGAAAGTTTGCCTCATTTTTCTGAATCGCAGAGGACTAAAGAGGCTGTTCCAAAATCATGAGGGATGGAGAACACCGTTTTCGACAAATCCGTTGGGGCAACAAACCAGAGGAAGTTACAGACACTGAACTTATAGGATATTATCTTCCAACCACGTTATAAAACAACATGATTTGCAAAAAACGTCCGCACAGTGCAAGATAAGTTTTTTTGCTATGATCAGTGTATTTAACGCTTGAACTTTTCCCCGATCAATAGATCAATAACAGTAACGGGTAACTGCCGAAAAATCCTATTGATTCGAACAGCCTTGGTGCATAAAGAACGGTATTAAACCCTGTAAACAGCGAGCACTTGAACTGGAACTAAATTCGATTCGAGGAACAACTTGAATACATGCATCCATCCGTTCATTTATGGGGTAAGAACAATTCATCTTCTATGACCACTTCTCCTTTCGAGTCGCTGAGGCAAACGTTGCAACGCTTCCAACGTTCACAAACCTGCGCCAGCGTCTGACCTTCGACAGAAGAAAGAGGGAATCTAGAGTAGAATCAGTCGATTCACCTTCCCAGGCTAATCTCAGCCGTGAGCTGGGCCTTCTGCCATTCGACTTGACAAACAGTAATTGGTTCGCCTTCCTTTCTGGAGGCATTTGCAACACATACCCAAGCCATCGCAGCTGTGACTTCTCAATCTGGAGAAGCAAAGGCTATATTCCAAGGCTCTTCCGA